CTAAATTAGGGACTTGGAATTACAGGGTGTCTCCTAAGGAGAGGTCCTATTTCTTTTTTCTTCTTTTGAAAGGTAAGGTTTCTTTCTCTATTTCCTTTTCCTCTCTCCTCATTCACTTTTGTTTTCCTTCTGCATCTACTTTCATCAATTAAAAATAGAAGTGCTTCTTCTCTAGAGAGGCTAGAGATAAATCCTAAGCAGTCCCTTTGTTTGTTGTGGCTGTAGGTTTCATGAGGAGGTCTGTGGCTTGCTGGCATCAGAATATAAAAAAAAAAAAAAAAAAAAAAAAAAAAAAAAAAAGTGGCCCAGGAGCTTGGAGGATCCACCCACCCTGGACAATCAGCTGGCCTTGGAAGGAGTTTTCAGTCTGCTGTCTTTGACTGTGGTACAGACACCAGATGTCACTCTTTCTCCAGGGCCATCTGATGACGTTCAGCTGGATGGATCGGTTTAAAAAAAAAAGAATTTTCTTCATTCTGTGTGATAAAAATTCTTCCACAGTAGCAACGATTTAAGTAAAACAGTAGATGAGGTCCCAAGACACTCTCCCAAAATGGCTGGTCCTCGAGTGGTAAGAGAAGATTTCTGTACCAGAAAGAGGATTTCTGTGATTGAGGCAAGTTTAGTCTTCTCTTTCTCCTACCTTCTATTTACTACCTCAGCAGAGGACATTTTCATGTGAGAAGATGGGACACTGAGAGGAAAACCTAGTGGAGATGGGAGAGGATGCCCCTGATCCCCAGCCACTTTCTGTGTTAACCCTTCAAGAGGCACAGGGATCTCGCTCAGTCCATTATAACTGTGATTCGCTTGACTTAGAGGTGACATCTTAAGTGATGGCTGTAAAAAAGAAGAAACTCCATTTACCAAACCTAAAATTGATAATAACTCCCAAAGCTAACACTTGGGGTTTTTTTGTTGTTGTTTTCTTTTCTTTCTGGTAATGGGGATCAAATCTGGGTCCTTATGATTGTGAGGCTGCGGAACCACTGAGCTGATCCCAAGGCTCAAAGTTAACATTTGTATAGATTTACCTTAGGCTATTGAGGTAGCACTAAACTCAAAGCCCAAAGTCTTCGGTGCTGCCTTTGTCTTGAGGCTTAAAGTGTGGGCATGAATAAGTCAAATGACTCCTTTGTGTTTCAAGTCCCTTTCCATAACTGGACTAACCATAGGAAAACAGTATTGGCCCAAAATGCCAGTCTGTTTCCTTGGGCCCTGAAAACGCTGAGGAACTCCAGTGAGGATGTCCTCAAGTCAGTAAAGTTTACAAGTTGGGAGAGCATCATCGCCTCTTCCGTGTGTCCTGAGTGAAAGAGACAGAAAGCTAGAACAAATAGAGTAATATTTCATGGTAAAGCCCAGAGCCAGTGAAGGGTAACTACCAACCCAAGCAAAGTAGGAATGACCTGGTACCCAGAGAAGGGTGAGCTGCAGCCGGGGTGATAAACTAGTGACTGCCAATGTTCATTTCTGGCACGTGCTCTCACCACCCAGTGTTGGTGAGGTTGGAGAAGGAACAGCAAAGGCTTATATCCAGTATCTGCTCCAGAGACAGGCTCAGGGGAGGCCTGTGAGAAAACAAACTTCCCACTAGCAGTGGTGAAGTATGTCCCTCCCAGGCTGGCTACCCCGCAGGATGACAATGGGAAGTGGGAAGGTGCACTCCTCCTTCTGGCGCTGCCTTGGAGTAAGTTCCCAGTCTGAACAGAGCCCCAGCTACATGGAAAAAACAAAACAAAACATTTTCTTGAAAATACTAAATTATCCCAACCAGCTTTGGCCCTATTTCAGCCACAATATCCAAGACAGGACTCTGCTAAAGCAATTAGAGGTTTGTGGGAGGACTGTTTACTTGAGTCCAGGGTGGGTTATTTAAGGCACAGATTCATCTAACAAGTATCTGTTGACCTCCTGTCATGGGCAGGGTGGTAAACCCTGCCTTCCCATGCAGAGTGCTGAAGGGGCAGGAAGGTCTGCCTGAGAGCATGTTGGGCTGCTGGGAAAGCCCTTGGGGTGGAGAGGTGAGAGCCCTAGCCCAGTAGGGCAGGTAGGAGGGAGAGCGCATTGGAAGAGTTGAGTAGCAGTGAGAGGGGACAGAGAGCTAAGACCATGGGGCCAAATAACATCACAGAGGAGCAGAAATGCAGGAGCCAAGGCCTTGGCCTCAAAGGGAAAGAAAGTTTGGAGGATCCGCAGCAGTTCAGTGTAGCTGGAACAAAGAATACAAAGGAGGGACAGGAGGTGAGGCTGGATTAATGAACAAGGGTACCTGTGAAGGGCTTTCTAACCGTGGCAAACAGTTGGAAATTTACCACGGGGGAGCAGGGAGTGAATGGGCCATTTTAAGAGGGGTGATGATGAGACCAGATTTATATTTAGGAAGCAAGTTATGGCTTTTGCGGGCTTGATTGGGGTGTACAAATTATTCATAAATATCATGTACATGATATGTCTACATGAAATGATGCACTTCAAGGGCTCCTGAACTGCCATTCTCTCTCTCTCTCTCTTTTTCTTTCTTTTTGTTTTTTGAGACAAGGTCTCACTCTGTAGTTGAGGCTAGACTTGGACTACGTAGCCCAGTCTGGCCTCAAACTCATGGCAATCCTCCTGCCTCAGCCTCCTGAGTACTGAGCAGGCATGTGCCACCATACTTGGCTCTTTGTTTTTATTTTCTACCTCAATTTATTTTATTTTTTTCAATACTATACAACAAATATAAGCATGCATGACAGATAGCAGTTTTCAATGATGGCCTTATCTGTATGCCACATCCCACACCTTTGTGTTACTGTGTGATGTGGACACTCTTCCTTGAGATGTTGGGTTGATGTTCCCTCCCTTTGAACCTGGCAGACGTGCATAGCTGTCTTGACAATGAATAATGCGACTTCTGAGGGTGGGTCCTAACGGGTCTCCATCTGCTCTGTCTCCTTCCCTCTCCCTTTCTCTCTCTCCACTCGCATGACTTTATCCCTGGCCTTCAATCCTACCCCATGACACCAAAGAAAACAGACAAACGGTTTCTGCAAATTCATGGGCAACATGAATGTCATAGCTTAACCCACAAAATTTAGGTTTGATTTGTTACCACAGATAACCAATAACCTTGACCCAGACTTCAGCATGTAGCCGAGTGTGGTAGCACACAAGTGAAATCTCAAGCCACTTGTGAGACTGAGGCAGGAAGATTGCAAGTTTGAGCCAAACCCGGGCAACTTGGCAAGACTCTGACTCAAACTACAATATAAAAGGGACAGGGGATGTAGCTCAGTAGTAGAGTACTTGCCTAGCACGCATGAGGCCTCTGGTTCAATCTTCAGCATCACAAGACAGTCAAACAACAGATTTTATGTAGCTAACTTCAAGGATTTTTATGGTGCAGCCCCTTTTAGTTTCTAATGCTTATAGAGTTTTAGCACGCAAGCTAGCTGCAGCATGGAGAGATGCAGAACTAGACGCAGGGGCCCCACTGTGAGATGGTCACAGCTGTCCAACAAAG